GAATTACTGAGCGATTCTGAGTCTCAATCAATGATGAACAGATTTTTAAACGTGTCCTTGTTTTGATATAAGTATGTAGTCTAAAGTACAGTGCAGATACACAGCCAGCTTTAATGCCACGCAGCCTTTCTAGAGCTAAGTCATGCAAGGAGTTGAAACTGGCTGGTAAAAATGGCTATTTTTTTTATTCATCAATACACAACAAAACAGTAGCAAGGACAGTGTGGCACTGCACTCAAGTTTATAACGTATTTTTAGCTCCATACAACAAAATATAATTAACATACAAGCGAATGCAGGATGTTTACCTCCCTACGTTTCTTGGGTAAGAATGGGTGGATGAATATTCTACATTTCCTCATGTTGGGTACTTTTATAAAGATACTACTAGTACTTCAAGTGATGCCATAGTCACTGAGGAGTGAATTTTTTATCAGGGAGAAATGGGTACGAAAATATTCTGTATTTGCTCATATTGCAGACTTTTAGAAATTGACTAACGGTACGTGCTATATTCACTGTAGGGATGTACTTAGCCCCTTGTCTTCTTTTCTTTAGAAAAATACCACTTAGGATGAAGATGAAAATGACAAAGACCCTACACACACACACACACACTCATAACATTACCATCTTATTGGAGATACATATTAATAATACGAATTTTATTGACCCCTCTATTAAGACTGTTCAACAATACATTTTCGAATGGAATTTTTCCAAAAACGTGGTCTAGAAGCGAAAAGATGACCCAAATAATTATCGTGGGATCGCCATTAACAGCTGCTTAGGAAAGCTTTCCTCCTCAATACTAAACAAAAGACTGTCAACCTTCTTTGAAGAAAATGAAATCATAAAACCAAACCAAACAGGATTCAGAAAAAACTACTTCATACTGAAATATCTAAAGAGACACTGTCTGGTAAACGTTTATTCGCTTGTTTGTCGACCTATCAAAAGCCTTTGACTCTATTTGGCATTAGGAACTGCTATGCAAACTTCTCTCCAACGGTATTTCAGGCAAACTATTCGACATAATCAAAATCTTATACAACCAGTCGGAAGCCAGGGTCAAAACTAGGAATGGCATGAGCGAAACCTCAGATAACATCTTCATATTGAAAAATCTAAAGACACACAGTCTTGTAAACGTTTATTCGCTTGTTTTGTCGACCTATCAAAAGCCTTTGACTCCATTTGGCATGAGGGACTGCTATGCAAACTTCTCTCCAACGGGCATGATCATTCTCGTACTCGTGCGAACTGCACTGTACAGTCGAACCGTTGCTGCCACGTAGTTTCCTCTCTTTATTCACAGGTAACAATAAGACGAAACTACATGTCTTAAAAGGCCCTTTCTTTACAAAGACAAGAAAAAAAAAACACCTGAGCTGTGGCTAACAGTACATTCTGTACCCAAGACATGACGAAACACATTTTGATAAGATTGCTGGAATGCCAGCAGTTAGTAGCTTAGGGCATTTGACATGTTGAATACTTTCTCTGGTCACAGCCTTAAAGTTGAAGGACGATATGGGTGCGGTTTGATTTTCTCACTCTGGTCCGCATGACCCCCCTCCCCCTCATTGCGTAGATTCATAATAATACATCTGCACATGTATTTGAGACTTTTCTTAAATATCAGGATCCCTTTCCATCCAGATTATATTCAACCCATGTGGCGTCTGGCGACGTTTAATGTATTTTTTGTATACTAGTATCTCAAAGATTTTACTATTTGTACATGTAGTATATTCTGATACAATGTACATGAACAGGTACAAGGATAACACTATCATGATGCCACGTTATACTAGATGTGGTTGAACCATAGTTGGAATTTGTAAAAGGTTGATATAAGTAATCCATTTATGGACATAACTGTCATGTGCACGATACAGATACACAAGAAGACAGCTAATCAAGCAAATGGATAATTTGTTGGCTGTTTAATGAATAGACCCAATTTACCCCAAGAACACATTTCATTGTTAAACAAACATGGCTCTAAACTCTGATGGTTAAACAAAGGTTTACTGACTATGAAATAAAGACTAAGCTTTAACTTCCAACACTTAGATTACAGAATTGGGACTTACCCCAAGTTTTCGGTTGACTCGGTTGACCAAAAGAGTAAATGAAATGGAATTCAGCTCCGGATCCACTACAATAAGTTTTGGTGAACTGCAGATGAATTCAATAAAATAATGCTCGGAGATACAGATATAAACTTCAGTTTGTTATATCAAGGACATGTCAATGGTCATATAAACAAACTTCAGTAAACCTTTGCATGAAAGTCCATCTGTGTTGGTACAAGTCATTATGAAATAAATACTAAGCTTTAACTTCCAACACTTAGATAACAAAATTAGGACTTACCCCAAATTTTCGGTTGACTCCATCAACCTTGTTCACGGATTGGACCCGTCTACTCTTGGAACGTGACGTCAGAGACACGTGACCGCAGTAGCGGGTCGTACGTGCCAGATAACTTGTGTCGCCCCCCGTCTCTGGTCAGGGTAGGTCTGTGAGCTCTTATCCTCCTTCACTCCTCTTGCAAAGAAGTCCGATTCAGAATCAAGGATTTTGACCCCTTCCAGAGTCTAGAGATACCGAGTGTCCCGGAGATTCAATGTGAATATGTTGTGAGACCTCTGAGTTTACAGAACTAGGACGTTGATGTTCCAGGAATCTCGTTTTTAATGCACGTTCTCTCTCGCCTATGTCTGTCTCCTTACACGGACCCTTCCTGGTTTGACCCTGGCACTTGATGTGGTTCACTACTCCCACATCTGTTTTCCTTTGGAGTTTTGTCTTTTGGTGCCACCAGAATATTTCTAAGTGTGCGAGTGGGTCTAAAGCAGGTCTTAAAACCGTACTTGTTGAAGATCCTCCGAAGGGCCTCAGAGGTACCCTTGGAATATGGTAAGACTACTAGTCCTCTATTAGGTTTTGAGGAAGAGGACTGATTCTTTGTGGTACTATCTAAGGGTTTGGGTGTACTGGTCTTCCTGATGACCCAATCGGGGTAACCACACTGCTTTAATGCCTGAGTCACGTGCTCTTTTTCTGTCTCTTAGTCCTGGGTATCAGTATTAGCCATATGAAATAAGGTTTTTACGACACCGATCTTATGGTCTAGGGGGTGATTTGAAGAAGTTTAAATATTGGTCAGTGTGTGTTTTCTTCCTGTATATATCTTAACCTATAGTGAACCGTCTTCTTGTATGACAGTGAGTGTGTCCAGGAAAGGTAGGGACTTGTTTTGTTCAGGTTCGAAGGTGAACTTTATGTCGGGATCTAGACTGTTCAAATGGTCTGTGAAGGCCCTTCGGAGGATCTTCAACAAGTACGGTTTTAAGACCTGCTTTAGACCACACTTAGAAATATTCTGGTGGAATATTAAAAACGAGATTCCTGGAACATCAACGTCCTAGTTCTGTAAACTCAGAGGTCTCACAACATATTCACATTGAATCTCCGGGACACTCGGTATCTCTAGACTCTGGAAGGGGTCAAAATCCTTGATTCTGAATCGGACTTCTTTGCAAGAGGAGTGAAGGAGGCGGTCTACATAAGAGCTCACAGACCTACCCTGACCAGAGACGGGGGGCGACACAAGTTATCTGGCACGTACGACCCGCTACTGCGGTCACGTGTCTCTGACGTCACGTTCCAAGAGTAGACGGGTCCAATCCGTGAACAAGGTTGATGGAGTCAACCGAAAATTTGGGGTAAGTCCTAATTCTGTTATCTAAGTGTTGGAAGTTAAAGCTTAGTATTTATTTCATAATGACTTGTACCAACACAGATGGACTTTCATGCAAAGGTTTACTGAAGTTTGTTTATATGACCATTGACATGTCCTTGATATAACAAACTGAAGTTTATATCTGTATCTCCGAGCATTATTTTATTGAATTCATCTGCAGTTCACCAAAACTTATTGTAGTGGATCCGGAGCTGAATTCCATTACATTTACTCTTTTGGTGTTATTGTGAGATTACATAAATTGTACAAAGAACAAACTGATTTCGTCTGTGGAACTTTTGATTCAGGAAAAAAATTGAGGTATCTAAAAAAAACTTTTTTTAAACAGAAAACCTGACCAAAGACCACATTTGAATGTTAAGCAAACATGGCTTTGATTGTTTAAACAAAGGTTTGCTGAAATTTGTTTATATAACAAACTGGACTTTATAAACTGTGGCCATCCCTAGGCACATTTTCTTGAATTTGGCTGCACTACAGTAAACATTCTTTTTGATGTTAATGTAGTGCAGTTGAATGAAATTCAAAAATTTGCTCTGATGTTATTCTGTGTGGTCTAGTATTTTGTGATTCAAATCTATCTCATGATTCTATCTATCTCATAGTTTTATAATCATAAGCCTTGGATAAGCCTATTACCAGATACATACATGTGCCGATCAATCCTGGTTTGGTGCAGGCACTCTTTTTAAGCAGCCATTTTGTTTAGTCCCTTGAGTGCCTTCTATCGACAGGTTTGACTGTATATTTTCCATGTACTGTTCAGGACAATCCAAGAACATGTAACTTACACATAACACATGTGTCTAACTATAGAGAGATAGAAAATCAAACATTTGGATTTTGTTGAGTGTTTTACACAGTATTGAATGTTAGTCAACTGATAACCAAGGGTGACTTTCCCCATGTTTTCTTTTTTGTAGATTGCCCGGATGGATATACATATGGGGACCCTTATTGCTACAAAGTAGTTATCGCCTCCGTCAACTTCTATGACGCCCAAGCCGCCTGCGCCCAGGACGGAGGAAGACTGGCGGATCCGAAAAGCTTAGACGAGCATGAGGATATCAAAGCGGTGTTATTGGCAGCGTCATCGCCAGTTTCAGCAATGATTGGCATCAATGACTTTGCAACAGAAAACACCGTACTATACATGGACGGCTCTCCCGTAGGGGCTTTCCAAATGTGGTCGGGAGTAAGTAACAGAGATGACAAAGACTGTATAGAAATGGATGGAGAGAGAGAATACAAATGGACACCGTATTTCTGTGACCCTGTTGCAGAAGCAAAGGATCTATTAGTATCATACGTTTGCCAAATAGGTAAGTAAACTGCCATGGAAAGAGTCATGTCAAAATCAGACAGGCACACAAGCCTTCACCCCATAAAACACTAATGCTTAGAACAAAGATATGGTTTTTATTCGTAACATATTGCCTCATCTGAAGTTAAGTTGACTCTTGATAAATATACGTGAATTGGTTTTGTAAGTAGCTGTTGAATTGCTACTCCTAGAGGAAAACAAAGACGACACTGATTTTAGTGACATTATTGGACAAATCAAGGAGTATTGATATAGAAACATAAATGTAGACCGCCAAGTAGTTGTCATTAATCAAATATGCTTTCTTTTCCCTCACAGACCCTGATACATGGCCAGTCGAAATAAGTATGTATAATTCAGTAAATTGATTTCTTGTTTAAAATCTATTTGACTATTAGATGGGATTGGTAAGGAACAATCATAATGATCATTGAAAGAAACATACATTCATAATCCTTTCAGGTATCATTATTACAAGCCAATAAATAAGTAATGTCTTTTTCTTTTCTTTTAAAGTCATGATGTATAATAACCCGATTGTTGTTAACAATTTTTGTCTGTGATCTCAAATCTATATTTGTCTATCTTCTTGTGTATATCTGTATGTATTCATGTACAAACACCTCTCTACAAACCAGTACCCTGGTAAACGAAAACAGAAATAGATACAAATTCAAAAAAACAAATGCCCTATTCTTCAGGTTGTCCCACTGGCTTTCGAGGCACAACAGACACAATGTGCTACAAGCTCCTCACTACAAGAATGTCGGCAATAGACGCACTGGCTGCTTGTAGGAGTGAGGCAGGATTGGCCACGGACCCCGCCAAGCCAAAGACTCAGCAACAACACGACATGCTGAAGACCATAGTCCGCGGCTATATATCGCCATGCATCGGCGTATCTGATACAATTGAAGAGGGAACCTGGGCATACGCTGACGAAACACCTTTAGGTTAGTCATGGTCATAGTCTTGGGCACTAATTTCTGTAAAATGTAACCGAGCAGAGTAGAGCTCTAGTGCTAAAACAAGAAGCTGGCGTATCGACATTTCGACTGCCTGATGACCACAGCCTTCCGCAGACAAAATGAGTGGCCTCAGCAATCGGTCAAAATCGGTGGAAAAAATGGTCGAAAATTGACAACGAATGACGACGAAGTTTATCGCAAGTTTTAGCTCTGTATCATGTTATCAACATGGGTTAATAGAATGGAGTTGTATCAGTACAGTACAGGCAAAGTCAAACAGCATATTTCCTCATAATAATATTTACGTATAATTATGTTTGTGAAACGTATGCATGGTAACATTTTACTTTGACTTTGAAACATGTTTCGAAATTTCTGTTTTAAAATCCAACATGATAGAGCCAATCCGATCATAATGTTAGTATATTCCTGTTTACAGTTTCTGTGTGTTTATGTGCTACGTGCATAATCATTATATATAACTAACGTTGTTATTACTTTCATTGCAGGTGCTTTTAGTCCGTGGGGGTCAGTTAGTAATACTGGAGCCCTTGATTGTGTTATCATGGATACAAACGAAGACTACCTGTGGAACCCAATAGCTTGTACAGAAGATAAATTTGTCGTCTGCGAAGCAGGTTGGTACTGTTCGTTGTGTTATGTTCGAACGATAATTATAACGTAACTATTGTCTAGATGGGCTAGCTCATTTGACATGTACCAATCCTCACCCATACGCCCATCAGTTGTCTTTCAGCTAGCTTTTTGGCTCATCACCAGTTGGCATGTTTCCTGGCCACAACAGGCAAATTCAGCCGTGTAGATCGATATTGATAGGTTGTAGTTTGTGGATACATTGTGGTTAGTAAATCAATTCTCAGCATACCTTGATTTTAAATAAGGGTCACCCCCCCCAAAAAAAAAATTGCCTAAACAGCAAGCCAGAGAAATCCTACACGACGAATAGTGAGAGCACAAGGAGGTAAATATGATGACATATTTTTTCTCTCTATCATGTTGTCTCACTTGTTTATCTCCTCAGACCCCGACGAATGTCTGACGTCGCCTTGCGATCCAAACGCGGATTGCACGAACACCATCGGATCTTTCACCTGCGAATGTCATAGTGACTACTACGGTGACGGTTTCACCTGCCAACGTATGTATATAGATATTCATTTTCATTGTGAGAATAATATATTTACATTAAAGCTCGGCTTGAGAGAATTTCGCCATAGCTGTAAACAATTGCCTTTACTTATAAAAAAAAACAATGTTGAAACGTTACAATGCAGAACTTCATTTTTCAATATATATATAAAGTTAGCACACCTCAAGTAATACGTTTCCTTCGAATGACTTCGAAACATCAAGGTAAGCAGATAGTTAATTCTAACTTGGTAGTTCTTTTAAACTATGGCAGAGTTACCAAACCTGTTTGTTATTATGAATAATTCTGATGCTTCAACACACGCCTCTTTCTTGTAGCATTTTGCAGTACAGGCTTCACAATGCACGGTGGGTACTGCTACGGGTTGTCGCCCACACCTGGCAAAGCCGTAGAAGCGCTGAATTACTGTACAAGCCAGGGCGGGAGGGCAGCCGAACCAAGAAGTCAAGAGGAGCACGACAACATCAAAGCTTTGCTGACCGGGTCCACCTGGATTGGAATAACTGACCTCAATAACCCAGGCACGTTTACCTACGCCAGTGACGACTCGGCCCTAGTTTTCACGTCATGGGCAGCGGCGCCAGGAAGTGGAAACTGTGTCATAATGGACAGCGGTCAAGATTACGACTGGGCGCAAGATTCATGCTTGGATACAAATCCAGTTGTTTGCCAGCAAGGTGAATATATATATTGAGTTCCACAAGAGACTACAAGCATATCTGACATACATTTCATGTCACATTCTTACTATTTACTGAAGCATATCGTTCGCATTGGTTGACTCCGTGTTATTATTATGATATTATTGTTTATCTATGCAACAATTGACAACATTCCATCTCTTACAATTCCTGTTGATTATTCTCACCCTATGACTGTCGTATTATTTTCCTGTAATTTGTGTAACTGACAATAGAAACAATACAAAGCGGATAGCATTTTTTATCTTAATCATTCGCTTTCTGTTAATCTTATCTTTCTCCTACGCCACAGACATTGATGAATGTCTGGATTTGCCTTGCGATGTTAACGCCGTCTGCACAAACACGTACGGGTCGTTCACCTGCCAATGTAATGCCGGTTTGAGTGGCGATGGCTTCACATGCCACGGTATGTTCAATATTCGGTTTCACAGAATAATTACACAGTAGGCACATGCCAAACGCCAGGAACTTTTACAGCTACTACGCCTTGCCCTTTCAGGCCCAGGCGCTCCAGTGAATAAATTTAAAAGAGGAAAATGGCCCCTGTACAGATCTAGAATACCAATTTTACATTTAGTTCTTTCAGGTCATCCATTTAGTATTTTGAGGTCATACAGTCAGTACTTTAAGGTCATACATTTAGTACTTAAATGCCATACGAGAAGGCGTTAGAATTCTATGATTGGAACTATAAGGATGTGACTCATTCACCGATTGGAAAAAAGTGGTTCTTAGGAGTGGTTTTCATAGTCATGTTTGTATATTGCCAAACTCTAATACCTCATTTTCTTATCCCATGTAGTGTGTAATTCTGGCTACTCTGTCTACGGTGGCTACTGCTACAGAATATCCCCGGGCCCCGGTAACGCTCTACAGGGGCTGAATTACTGCGCCGATCAAGATGCGATAGTAGCCGAACCAAAGAGCCAAGAAGAGCACGACTACATCAAATCATTTTTATCTGAAACCACCTGGATTGGAATGGCTGACCTTGACAATGACGGCACATATACGTACGTCAGTGACGATACGCCAGTAGGCTTTACCTCATTGGTCAATCCATGGTGGGGAAATGGCCTATGCGTGGTAATGGAGAGCACGGAATCTTATAACTGGCTCCTGACAGACTGCACGAACACACATCCAGTTGTCTGTCAACAAGGTAAGCCATACTGCCCACCATGTAACGTTATATTTTCTTTCTAACTGGCATTGGAACAACGTTTCTTCACTGTCCATGTTTTCTGTGGCTTTTTGCTTCAAACATATCTCAAATACGCACCGACATTCTTTTTGGTATCACTGATGTGCATTCAATTGTTTATCACCCTTCCGTAAACACATTGCCAACAGTCTGTATCAGTATGCATCTAACGTTACCTCAATATGACTTTCCCTTCTTGGTAACATTTTGTATTATTATCGATGTCTACTTATCTGAGAGAACAGAATCCGCTGACTGTTTTATTTTGTTGTTGATTTGAAGACCATGACGAGTGCCACGACTTTTTGGTGTCCCCGTGTGACATCAACGCCAACTGCACCAACACCTACGGATTCTATACCTGCCAGTGTCGGCCTGGTTTCCCCGGTGACGGCTTCTTTTGTGACGGTAAATGAAATATCTCAAATCAATAATCGACCTGTTGTATAAGCGTTGTCATTATTGCTTTTAGATATACAACGCGTACAACGACTGATATCAGTGTTTCTTGCTCACTGATAGAATTCAATCCAGGTACACATTTTAAGTCAGTTTTTGTCTTTGCTTCCCTGAGAAAACATCAGGCAGACTTGCAATTGAATATTTTATCCATGCAATGCCATACAAAAGGCAACAAACAACAAAAGTTAAAAACAAAAATCTACCATAACATTTTTCCTCTCATGACTTCCACCTTACTTTTATGACATTTCAAACCAAACTGACATTTTTACCCTAAATGAAAACTCTTCACATGGTCTAGTCCTCCAAACTTCTGCTCTTTTCTTATTCATACCCATTCATATCATATATGGTGACCAGCCTCTCCAACTCTGTTCTACTACAAATATGTAAGCCAAGATCACCCGTTACCATGGTGACAGACGTCTGATTCAGGTCATTGACTTTATTTGTTTGGAGAAGAAGAAGAAACTGAACAAAAACAATATGTTTTCCTTCTGCGAAGGTAAACATAATAAATAAAATGTATACTGTACTTAAATATTGCAAATAGCCATACAAATATGGTATCACCATACATACATGGTATTCTTCATGTCTGTCTTATCAGCTTTCACCTTTGTGTACCTGGCATTTCAACTGACGGACCTGGACTTTGCCACCGTTACGGCGACGCAGAGCAGCATTGACACCTTCAAACTAAACTTCACTAATGAGGTACTGAATCTACGTAATAACTCCGTACTATGTACCGGTCAGCTGTAGGGATAAGGAATCGGCATGCCGATATCAGGACTTTGAGTTTTGACTTAAAGCTGTGCAGAAATACAGCTTTTGCCAAAGTGGTAAATGCCTCTACACTCTGCTGCTCTTGTGAGACCAGCTTGTTGCACTTGTTGAATGAATCGCCAGCGATTATACATCGTGGAATAAGAAACATATACTTAACAGAACAAGTATGAAGTAGAGTGCATGTACCTTGTATAGAGGTGGAATGAATCTCTGACCACCTGTCCATTGTTGTTACAGCTCCTGCAGTTCTTCGTAGACAATTCTATCCCGGCAGACAGGATACAAAACATCACTGTCATCGACCTGCGGTAAGTAGAAAATACATTTTAGGGCCTAGGAAAACGTTGTTGCATGCACGACAGTGACAGAGTTGTAGACACCATGGTGATTAAGAAGAGGACACAATCATCATCAAACAAAAAATTCTTAGAGAGAACTCCTCATTCTGGTCAATATCAGTGATGGTACTGCATGGTGGAGCAAATAATTTGAAACGTTCTTTGCTGCACTTGTTACTCAGGGACGGAAGCGTGACTCCTGTTGTTGAGGTAGACGTACACAGGGACAACGAGGAGGATCTACTCGCCCTGATAGAAGGCTTGGAAGGAGACACAGTTGGCAGTAACTATGTAAACCAGACCGCTACTGGGGAGAAAGGTAGGGATTTAACAAAAGCAAATAGAATATCCTTTAGCGTGGATTATAAGTCAACATGTAGTTGCTATGTTCAATGAGGATTGTCTTCTATGTAAGATGTGTCTACTGTCCGTTACATTCCCATGATTTTATTTCAACATGTTTACAAACGTTACTAGGAAAGTTATAACTAGCAATTGTTATTTCACATACAAAAAGGTACTTATATATATATATATATATATATATATATATATATATATATATATATATATATATATATATATATGCCAGTTTAGAATGAACGTTTCCTACGCAATCAAATCGACAAAATGATGTTCTCTTTGTCGCAGCACTCTTGGTGTTAGTAGGCTGCAATGACACAGTCACGGTGCACGACTGCCACGAGGATGCTACCTGTATACTGACTTGGGACGATGGATACTACTGTGTTTGCAACAGTGGCTTCACAGGGAATGGGACTTCTTGTGAAGGTGCGTAACTATCGCAAATGTTATCTTAGAACGTTATTATTGTCTGTCCATATCTTACGCCCTCATTGAGTATGGTACATTCTCATTACAACTGTTCCCAATGTCTGTGACGTAAGAAGGGGCAAAGACGTTACTTCTGCAACCTAAATGATTTAGAAGAAATTATTGATATTACGTGATTGACAGTAGCATAGAGCTGCCCCATTATATTTTGCCTATAAATCCACTCAGCGTAATTCTGTGTTATTCTGTATTTGAGGGTGGTTTTGTTCTCTATTAATTCGGGATATAGAGTACATATCATCTATTGTTTGTTTCATCAATTTGTATGAAACTTATAAAGGATATAGTTGATTCATATGAGATATTATTCTTTCACAGATATAAATGAATGCGCTATTGGAAGCTACAATTGCTCAAGCGGAACAAGATGCAGCAATACTCAAGGCTCGTATGATTGTAACCCAGGTATGTGTTAAGTCAAGCAGTTCCATTCTATCACACATGCATTCATACCCATTGCCTAAATCTGGAACTGGCTGTCACCAAATACAGTAAGGCATTATCATTAGATAGCTTTAAACATGATTTACAGAGTTAGATGTTCAACGATTAGGTGTAACAAGTTGTTTGGTGCAATGTAGCCAGCTGCCGCCGCGTGCATACGAAGCTGTTGTGTTACGCCGAAGGGCGGTAATACCGGCATGCAGATACAGAATTATTTGCAAATTTTACATCTAAACGTTGTACTTTAATTGCTCAATGAAGACCCTTCCTGAAATCTTTAAATGAGTATTGATTATTAAGACAATTCGGGAATAAAAAAACTGCTTTTATCATTTATTAACTAGCAGGAGTGTGTTAGCATGACTTATTCACTTCTTAGATCTTATCAAATTATTCTTGTTAGACTTGATCATGACTTATTAATTTAGACTTGATTATTCACTAATTAGACTTAAGTATGCACTTTTGAGTTGACGTCTGTCCCAACTATGTTATGTACCACATTAACGTTGTATTTATGTAAGTTCTTAATAACATTTAAGTTCTTTCTTTGATTTCTCCTGTATGACATTTGGATTTATGTTAATGTGACTTCTGGTGTCTTATAGTATAAGCCCATATGGACTGGTCGACAAAAACAGTCGCAAGACACGATAATGTAATTTCATTAATTCACATTCATTTACAGTATAGTGATTATGTTACCGTCTGTTCTGTTAGGGTGCCCTAGTGGATACTACACCGGCGGAGAGGGGACACAGTGTTACAAGGTTCACGACGAGGCTCGTTCGGCGACCATGGCAGCGCTTGTGTGTGAATCTGACGGGGCGACATTAGTAATGCCCAAGTCTCAAACAGAACACGACTACTTAGTTAGCCTGGCTGCAGCGTTAGGCTTCGGGCAATTTTGGATTGGAATATCAGGTAGGTTCTAGGCTTCATGCGGCTGAGCTATATACTAAGCTATTCATGACTTCTACCACAGGTCAATCCTATCATGGGTGAGCAGAAATTGTTGATTCTAATGGAATGTAGGTTAAGATTTGTATGGAAAAGCAATGACCTGGTAAAACTTCCATTTCGATTCAATTACGTACTGAGTTATATGACAGGCCAGCAATTAAGAAATGGATTGCCGGTACATGCAAAGTATGACAGTTTTAGCAAAGACTTATTGCCTATATTGATTGATTGGTTGTATTGAGCGCATTTTATCTATACCTGTATACATATTTCATCATTCCACTTCCAGATAATGGGCTATTTGGAACCGTTGAAGGGACGTACATCTACATCAATGGTGATCCACTCGGAAGTTTTGAAAAATGGTCTGCCAACAACACCAACACAGGGGCAGACGACTGTGTGTACTACCTGGCTAATGGGGGTGATATGGAATGGAACACAGGCAACTGCCTAGACGATAATGAAAGACGAGTTTACATTTGTGAACTCCGTGAGTAATCCATTTTCAAAACAAAGAATTTCTGGAAATTGTATTTCGGTATTCACAGCTTGACAAGAGTAGCTCGATTTATCGAATCTTGATCGATGATGTGCATGCAGGTTTGATTTAGGATTTGAAAGCTATAGATATATCGTCAATAAAGCATGATAATAACAGTGAAGTTAATAAACCCATTATACTTGCCTGTCCTACAGCCATCAATACCTGTCGAGACAACCCATGGTATGAATACGAGGAGCAGTATTACAAGGTGTTCAGTACCGTTTCTGTAACGTATGATTTGGCGGAGCAATACTGCCAGAATCTGGACGCAACCCTTGCGATGCCTTTTGATTTGGGCATTCAAGGGATCTTGGAACAGATGATTACGGAGGATACTTGGATTGCATTAGGTATGCAACACATAGCAATACATGGCATAGCACAAGCATATACTATACGGAGCTAGTAAGGCATCGTAAATATAAAGTGCTTTCTTGTTTGATGTAGATAACAACAAATGGGACAATCTAACCCTCTTGTCTTTTTAATATTATATTACATTGCGAAGACATTCAGTGCCAATTATTTTAAACTTATCGTTTGGTGTTTTTTGTTCTGTTATCAACTTTACTTAAGGTTTACCTAATTATTCTCAGATAATTAATCATCAGCGTGCTTTAGATACTGGATTACGCTGATGCGGTCTGACCTGTGTTTTTTTTTCTTTATATTCTCTGCAGACGATCGGACAACTGAGGGCACCTTTGTTTGGGGTGATGGCTCTACGCTGGATGCAACTGGTTATACAAATTGGAAAGCAGACATCAGCACCCTTAACGACGACACTAATGATTGCGTGATGATTGAGCCGTCAAACTCTTTCCAATGGTCTCCAACATCTTGCAACGATATAAGCGTCAGAGGTAGCTTTGTATGTCAAGCAGGTAAGCAGATAGAACCTATATGATTTTTGAACGTTACCTACACTGGGGAGCTACTCGAGATGTACTGTCTCCTCATTAACCCGATAAAGATCTTGTCTTGGAGTTAGGCCTCTTGCCACGTGACTTGATGCTGAATATCACATGACAAGAGACTGTCATGTAGCAAGTTGAAGGTGGCTGATTTTGTGTGGTGTATCTCATTGACGTCCTCTCTTACACCATAATTTCTAAGTAGCCGTGCACGTGCTTGCTACAATTTTTTTGTGTATGAATAATATCGGCAGAAACACCTAACATATTTTTTTCTTTTTTTTTATGTTGCGACTTATGTTAACATGTCTTATTGTAGTGCATCTTTTGTCTCCAATTTCCTATATACGTTTGTTATGTGTCTGTTATATGTTGACCTGTACCTAGCCCGTCGTGGCATGAATGTACAATAAAGGTATTTTATTTCTTATGTACGTCCTCATTTTGACCTCATATAAGTATAATGATTATGTTTTATTCCGAAGCTTGCCCGACGGAATGGATACGTCATAATGGACACAACATCTGTTACTTCTTTGAGAAACAAGACGCGACTTTCAATGACGCTATTGAGAAGTGTGAGTGTTCTGGGGGAAGGTTGTTTCAGCCGGAAACTGAAGCCGCTCACCACTATGTCAAGAATTACATGATGACAGAAAGTTTGGAATCCTCCTGGGTCCACCTTTCTGACCGAGTAAGTAGAATGCACACACAAATTACAGGTTAAATTGTCTTCAATATTGAAGATCATTTTGATAACAGATTGCTAGTTGTTGCAATTGTATCATCACCGTATTTCCACACTTGGTTAAGTGACGATTCTGAAACTTTTTCTTTCATAAAAAGACAGTCCCATATCCAGTGGCATTAATTCTCTAAATGCTTTGATTTCATAGGAAACGGAGGGAATATTTGTGTGGGGTGACGGTGATAGTTTGGAAGTTCACGATGAAGACTGGTTGAATGGCCACCCAAATGCGACAAACACAGAAGATAAGGACTGCGCCATCCTAGCACAGGCTGCGAGTTATAAACTAAAAGTTGAGGACTGTAAGAAGAAGAAGCACTACGCCTGCATGCTAGGTAGGATAGTTTTTTTTTATAATTTTACTTTCAATCAACTAGTTCAACATTTGTTTCATTCACACTGTCTGTACTATGGACTCACAAGCGATGTCTTTATTTGCTGATATAGAACTGCCAAAAGCAGGAGTTCCAATTTCTACAACATTAACAATTTCCAAACTAAGTCTATATAGATAGGATGCTTTCTTTATCTTTTGCTCCAATCACAGAACTACACATTTTAGTTCGAATTCTGTGCACTATTGAAAGATCAGAAAATAAAAACTTTCATTTTAAAGCGAGCACTTGGTTAGTTTTATAAATTTTATCAATTTCTTAATCCTCATAAGGTGAGTACCACGAGTTAACCACTGTAGCAACGACGAAAGTCACCACCATACCGACAACAGCGAAACCAACAACACAGCGGTCCACTGTATCAACAACGCAAGTCACCACCATACCAACAACGGCGAAACCAACAACACAGCACTCCACTGTATCAACGACGCAAGTCACCACCATCCCGACAACAGCGAAACTAACAACACAACACTCCACTGTATCAACGACGAAAGTTACCACCATACCGACAACAGCGAAACCAACAACAAAATACTCCACAGCATCAACGACGCAAGTCACCACTTTCCCGACAACAGGGAAACCAACAACACAGGACTCCACTGTGTCAACGACGAAAGTTACCACCATCCCGACAACAGCGAAACCAACAACACAATACTCCACAGCATCAACGACGCAAGTCACCACCGTCCCGACAACAAGGCCTACAACACAAGACACCACTGTATCAACGACAAAAGTTACCACCATACCAACAACAGAGAATCCTACAACACAGCACTCCACTGCATCAACGACACAAGTCACCACCATCCAGACAACAAAGCCAACAACACAAGACACCACTGTGTCAACGACGAAAGTTACCACCATCCCGACAACAGGGAATCCTACAACACAGCACTCCACTGCATCAACGACACAAGTCACCACCATCCCGACAACAAAGCCAACAACACAAGACACCACTGTATCAACGACGAAAGTTACCACAATACCGACAACAGGGAATCCTACAACACAGCACTCCACTGCATCAACGACACAAGTCACCACCATCCAGACAACAAAGCCAACAACACAAGACACCACTGTGTCAACGACGAAAGTCACCACCATACCAACAACAGGGAATCCTACAACGAAAGTCACAACGATGTCAACAACAATACAACCAACGACGAAAGTCACAACAGGTATACCCAAATGTCAACCACCTTGTTATTTTCTTTGCTATTATTTTGCTTTATGTTGTAGCAACAGCTACAGACATTTCAACGGAAACGACAAACGACAACGACAGCAACATGTAAAAATACATGCTACCCCCTCCGTTAAACTCATTTTGCCTCGCGCCGTTCTCCTTCACCCCTATACTAAAGTCTTGTTTACCCTACCATTCCTCTTCGTCGCGCGGCGAATCTGATAGGCAAAAATAATCCAAATTCAACAAACTCATCTATAATCAAGATGTGATCTCGGCCAAGTATTTTGTCATTAATAACTAAATATGTAATCTCAGATAAAACCACAGGGCTAACAACAGAGAAGACAACTAAGCAAACAACAGTAGTCCCAACGACACAAATCTCGACGGAACGAACTACCGCACAAACTACCGAAAAGACAACTTTACCAACTACAATTGTAACAACACAAAAAACAACCCAACAAACTACCCAAAAATCTACGGTACCTACTACAATACAGCCTACAACCTTGGTCACTACAGGTAAATTACTTTGATTACAATGATAGAATAACGAAATTTATTCATATTTAACATATGGAAACATTTGATTCACAATGCATTATAGCTGATTAAAGATTTCTTTGCATACAGGACTACTACTCTAAACAACATGATGTAAACAGCAACAATTATCTACTTTATCCAGAAACAAAATACCAATTCAAATGTATCTAAACAAAATGTCCGTTGAAGGTATCTAACCATCGTTTGTGTCTTTGCCCCAGCTGCAAATCCGATTGACAAAAAAAATCTAAATTGAACAAACTTATCTGTAATCAATATGTCCTCTCAACCAAATATTAAGTCATAATAACTATATATATATGTGTGTGTGTAATCTAAGGAAAAACCACATCATTTACAACAGAGAAGACAACAAAGCAAACAACAGACGTCCCAACGACACAAATAACGACGAAACGAACTACTGCACAAACAACAGAAAAGACAACTTTACCAACTACCATAGTCACCACACAAAAATCAACGCAACAAACTACCTATAAATCTACGGTACCTACTACAATACAGCCTACAACCTTGGTCACTACAGGTAAATTACTTTGACACCGATAATAAAATAATGAATTTGATTCCTCTTTACCATATAGAAACATTTAATTCACAATTACAGCTGGTTGCAGATTTCTTCGCACACAGGACTTACACTTCAAACAACATGATGTTAACAGCAGTAATAATCTACTTTATCTGTCAACTAAATGCCCATTCAAATGCATCTATGTCGTTTAAAGGTATCTAGTCATCGTTTGTAGTGGTCCCTGCTGCAGATCTGATTGAAAAAAATCATCTAAATTGAACGAACTCATCTATAATTATGTCGTCCACTCAACCAAGTATTTAGTCATTGATAACTATATGTATGTAATCACGAATAAAACCACAGGACTAACAACAGAGAAGACAACTCATCAAACAACAGTAGTCCCAACGACACAAATCTCGACGGAACGAACTACTGCACAAACCACTGAAAAGACAACTTTACCAACTACCATTGTCACCACACAAAAATCAACACAACAAACTACCTATAAATCTACGGTACCTACTACAATACAGCCTACAACCTTGGTCACTACAGGTAAATTATTTTGATATCGATGACATATTACCATGATTGCATTCTCTTTAACATGGAAACATTTGATTTAGAAGAACTCTTTGAAAGATTTCATCTCAAGCAAAACTATTCATTTCAACAACATGGTGTAAACCACAGCAAACATGTACGTTTTCTGTAAACTAAATGTCCTTTGAAGAATCTGGTAAACGTTTCTTTTTACCGCTGCTGCATATCTGCTTGACAAAAATCGTCTAATTGAACGAGCTCACCTACAATCAAGACGTCCTCTAAACCGAGTTTTGAGGTCATAAATAACCATACATATATATAATCTCAGACAAGACCACAAGGCTTACAACAGAGAAGACAACAAAGCAAACAACAGTAGTCCCAACGACACAAATCTCGACAGAACGAACTACTGCACAAACCACCGAAAAGACAACTTTACCAACTACCATAGTCACCACCCAACAATCAACACAGCAAACTACCCGAAAGTCTACGGTACCTACTACAATACAGCCTACAACCTTGGTCACGACAGGTAAACTAGCTACTTTGATACCGGTACAATAGAATAAAGAGATTAAGTCCTCATTAACATATATAAACATTTGCTTCAAAATTACCACTGTTGCAGATTTCTTCTCGAGTAAACTAATACTTTAAACAACATAGTGTTAACGACAGCATATAACCAACATACCAGTTAGAATTTGTTCCTTAAAAATATCTAAACAAAATATATTTACAAAATTTAATGTAGTTTGCCATCGTTCCTCTTCGTGCCTGCTCTGCGAATCTGATTTGATTAAAAAAACGTCATCTTGATTGATTAAACAAAATCATCTTTGATCAAGGTGTCATATCTACTAAAGATTTATTAAACATAAACGAGACATATAATCTTATATAAAACCACAGGACTAACAACAGAGAAGACAACTCATCAAACAACAGTAGTCCCAACGACACAAATCTCGACGGAACGAACTACCGCACAAACCACAGAAAAGACAACTTTACCAACTACTATTGTCACCACACAAAAATCAACCCAACAAACTACCCATAAGTCTACGCTACTGTCATCAGTACAGCCTACAACCTTGGTCACCACAGGTAAACTACTTTGACACCGATAATTGAAAAACGAAATAAATTCCACTTAAACACATAAACGTCTGAGTCAAAATTACCTCTGTTGCGAATTTCTTCTTAAGTAAACTAACACTTTAAATAACAATGTAAACGACAGTAATTACCTACATTACCCGTTAAGAAAATGTTCCTTTAAAAGTATCTAAACAAAATGTCAATTGAAATGTATATTGCCGTCGTTCCTCTTCGCCTCCGCTGGGAATCTGAACGAAAAAAGCCATCTAGATTAAACGAAATCATATTTAATCAATGTGTCATCTTAATAATTATTTAACCAAGGATTTAGTCATTGATAACGAAATTTATAATCTCAGATAAAACCACAGGACTAACAACAGACAAGACAACAAAGCAAACAACAGTAGTCCCAACGACACAAATCTCTACGGAACGAACTACTGCACAAACCACCGAAAAGACAACTTTACCAACTACCATTGTCACCACACAAAAATCAACCCAACAAACTACCCATAAGTCTACGCTACTGTCATCAGTACAGCCTACAACATTGGTCACCACAGGTAAACTACTTTGATACCGACAACAAAATAACGAAATTGATTACTCTTTAACATGCAAATATTTGATTCAAACTAAAAACTGTTGCAGATTTCTTCTCAAGTTAACTAATACTTAATACAACATGGTGTAAACGACAACTAACTACCTCATCTTCTTCAAACATTTGATTCAAACTAACCAGTGTTGTGGACTTCTTCTCAAGTTAACTTGAAACAACATGGTGCAAACGACAGCAACTAACTACCTCATATTTAAACATTTGATTCAAATTACCTAATACCTTAAACAGCAGGGTGTAAAGGACAGGAACTTACTACCTCATCTTTAAACAAAATGCCCTTTTCAAGGTACCCAGTTATGGATAATTATACATAATCTCAGATAAATGATAAGGATTAAATCATTGATAACGAAATATAAAAATCTCAGATAAAACCACAGGAATAACAACAGAGAAGACAACAAAGCAAACAACAGTAGTCCCAACGACACAAATCTCTACGGAACGAACTACCGCACAAACCACCGAAAAGACAACTTTACCAACTACCATTGTCACCACAAAAAAATCAACCCAACAAACTACCCATAAGTCTACGCTACTGTCATCAGTACAGCCTACAACCTTGGTCACCACAGGTAAACTACTTTGATACCGACAACAAAATAACGAAATTGATTACTCTTTAACATGCAAATACTTGATTCAAACTAAAAACTGTTGCAGATTTCTTCTCAAGTTCTCAAGTTAACTAATACTTAAAACAACATGGTGTAAACGACAACTAACTACCTCATCTTCTTCAAACATTTGATTCAAACTAACCAGTGTTGTGGACTTCTTTTCAAGTTAACTTGACCCAACATGCTGCAAACGACAGCAACTAACTACCTCATATTTAAACATTTGATTCAAATTACCTAATACCTTAAACAACAGGGTGTAAAGGACAGAAACTAACTACCTCATCTTTAAACAAAATGCCCTTTTCAATGTACCCAGTTATGGATAATTATACATAATCTCAGATAAATGATAAGGATGAAATCATTGATAACAAAATATAAAAATCTCAGATAAAACCACAGGAATAACAACAGAGAAGACAACAAAGCAAACAACAGTAGTCCCAACGACACAAATCTCTACGGAACGAACTACTGCACAAACAACCAAAAAGACAACTTTACCAACTACCATTGTCACCACACAAAAATCAACCCAACAAACTACCCATAAGTCTACGCTATTGTCATCAGTACAGCCTACAACCTTGGTCACCACAGGTAAACTACTTTGATACCGACAATAGAATAACGAAATTGATTCCTCTTTAATATGCAAATATTTGATTCAAACTAAAAACTGTTGCAGATTTCTTCTCAAGTTCTCAAGTTAACTAATACTTAAAACAACATGGTGTAAACGACAACTAACTACATCATCTTCTTCAAACATTTGATTCAAACTAACCAGTGTTGTGGACTTCTTCTCAAGTTAACTTGAAACAACATGGTGCAAATGACAGCAACTAACTACCTTATCTTTAAACATTTGATTCAAATTACCTAATACCTTAAACAGCAGGGAGTAAAGGGCAGAAACTAACTACCTCATCTTTAAACAAAATGCCCTTTTCAAGGGCATTCAGTTATGGATAATTATA